CTCCCCACGCCTCTGCCTCGCCCTGCATCCACCTTGTTTTCGAGGCGCGTTACAGGAGTCGAGGAATGTCGCTTAAGTAGAAGATTAATACGGCCTCGGGGACGTATTAGACTGTCGTTTCATTGTCGCGGAACACCGTCTCGTCGGGCCGAGCGAAACTTGAATTTAAATTCGACCAATGATCGCCTTAAGCCGACCTCCGGCTGCGCTTTGTGGTGCGATCGACGTGTGATGGTGTGGTCGTAGCAGTGGTGGTAGTAGTGGGACGCTATGCAAGCATGCTTGGAGAGGCAAATAATAACGAGAGAAGCCGACGTCTCTCTTTAAAATTCCTCGCCGTTTCGTTCATCCGGAATATTTCCAATTTTTCGCATAACGGATTCTCTTTCTCTCTCTTTCTCGCTGACGGCGCGTCACTTACATATAGTGCGGGAAAGCTGAAACAATAAACTTTAATAATGAAATAATAAACTTTAATTTTGCACATTCGCCCGCATTTGAGAACGTATAACCTTGGAAATTTTAGACTCTGTATCTCCACAGTCTCGAATTTACAGTACGCGACGTCTATTTCAATTTTAGATCGCCGATATCAGGACATATGTCTCGGCTCGCCGCGATCCCACGGATCGGGAATTCGTAGAGTCTCGTCGAGTTTGGATTTCCAGTTTCTCCATGCCAAGACGGATCCTTGCTTCATTCGCGCCGTTTCTCGTCCCCCTATTTTCGGACCGTCGGGAATCACCGTCTCGTCTGCGCGTACCGTCTCTTCCTCAAAGTCTCGATTTCTCGCCCCGGAATTATTCGATTTGCATCGCGCTTGAATTTTTCCTACCGACGTTCCCGGAATGAGAATTAGCAACTCGAATCCGTATCCCATTCACGCGCCCGTCTCCGATCGATCCTAGGCTCTCCTACGCTTCTAGGAATCTCTCTTTCTCTCTCTCTTTATCCGGTCTCCGGCACGGCGCGGCGCACCAGACTCATCGGCTAGCGATGCGTCGTCTCTAGCGGTGCTTTCCTGCGCTATACGACGCCCGTGGTATAGGTCAGTGAAGTAGGAGCAGTTCCCCCACCGCGGCGGCTCCTAGACAACGGGTCTACGATTGACTCATCTAGCCAGTCATACCGCGCGTAAACACGATCCGCTCCAGCTGTTCTCGCACTCCGCGGGCCTCTACCGCCTTCCTCCTCTCTTTCTCGCCGTTTCCTTCCCACCTTCCCGGTTTCTCTTCCTCTCGCTCGGTCCGTTTCTTCTCGTGCTCTACCGTTTCGCGCGTGTACGCGCACTTCCCGAGAACAACGGTGCGTTCTCTGTATTTTTAGAGCCACCGGCAAAAATCCGACCCTCCGCCGCCGCCCCACCCTTTTTCGTTCCCGTCCCCCTTCCCTTCCCCTGTCCTCTTTCTTTCTTCCTCTTTCAAAATTTACCTCGTCTCTCGTGAAGCGCGCTATTTATATCGCCGTGTTCGGTTATCGAAATCTCTCCTTCTCTCTGGAGACGTTTGGACGTGTCTGTCTCGCGTGGGGTCCTCGATTACTTCCGTTGAATTTCTTTGCGTACGTATCAGACGTTTACACCGAATGCCATTATTCCGCGTGCGCAACCATCTTGTAATTCGCCGCTCTATCGTCGGCAGGAGATACCGCCTCGCAACGCTAAATAAATATTTCTCTGTCTTTCTTCCCCCTTCTTTATCTTGTCCTCTCTCTCTTCCTCCTCTTTTCTCTCATCTCATCGCTGCAAACCAGAAAACCTCGAATAGAGCCCGAAGAATCGTTCAACCGCGCGCGAGCCTCCACGGAACTGCAACGCACGACGCGAAAGAAGGATGTAGCCGGGGCGGAGGCGAGGAGGGATGAGAAGGGAAGACGAGAGAGTGAGAGAGAGAGAGAGAGAGTTGATGCGACGAAGGGGAAGGGAACCGATGGAACGGCAGGGTGGAGGGTAAGGAGAATGAGGATAAGGAGGAGGTGGCGGAGGAGGTGGCGGAGGAGCAGGAGTGCGAGGGGCCGGAGAACGAGTTCCGATTTTAGCGCAGTCGCGGCGGCCTCAGAACGAGCGGCGCTATTATGCACTAGTAGCTTGATGGCGTCACCCGTGCAACCTTGGCTCGGGTCAGTCCTCTATCATACTGCAGGCAGAGTTCCCCCAACTTCCCCCCTCCCTCTCTGTCCCTCTGCTGTGCCCCTCTTTCTCACCCGTTCGCCGCCGCCGCGCTTAACCCTCTCGCTCTCTCTTTCTCTCTCTCTCTCTCTCTCTCTCTCTCCTCGTCTCTTTATCTCGACCCGTCTCCTCTTCCTCCCGTGGCCAGTGGCGTAAAGGGGAACGCTTCTCTCTGCTTCGTGGCAGCTTCGAAACTTTTGCTTTCTTCCAGCATAATGTGGTACACCACCGTGCGTGCGTGTGCGTGCATGCGTGCGCGCGCGCCAGCGCGTGTGTATCAAATGCTGTGAAATTTTTTCTCCCGCGGGAGCTGCACGGTGACACTGGCTGCGGTGCACGTTCTCAGTGGCGTAAAAGTTGCAGAGACTCATCTGTCGTATGCGGTTTCGAAACACTCTTGCTTTCTTCCAGAGCGTAATTCGGTACATCGCTATCTGTGACTGCGTGTGTGTATATGTCGAATGTCTCTCCTTACGAGAGAGAATGCGTGCGGTGACACCATCGCCACGACGTTCGGTGCCACGTATATTCGTTCTAGCGACGTAGGAAACGCGAGATTTCTTTCGCAACAGTCGTCCCCGTGACTCTCGATATCTTCGCTCAAAGTGCGATATTCTCTCTCTCGCAAATGTCCGCGCGCGGAGATTCGTCACGCAATTGCGTGCGCCTATCGACGCGAGTCAACATCAATCATGCATTACTCTGGCGTAAGAAATGCACGGTGGCTCGTCCTGATGATAATGTATGACCTACAAAACTTTTCGTCTCTACCGTGGAGCACCCAAATGTGTCCGGTCGCGTCTTTCGGATCAACGTTTAGTGGCGACGAGAAAAGATGTTGCTTCGAAACTATTGATTCACCTTATCATTTCTCGTGTGAAGCAACAACTTTGAGATATACAAAAGATGAATGTGGATGTTGCGCGTGCGAATCTTCTCGCGATTTCAATTTCGGTGTGTCTGTAGTTCCACCCCTGGACCACCTGAACAATTTTAAACCAATTTTCTTTTTTTTTCTTCCAACGAGACTTCGTTTCCAACGAGACGAGCGTCACTTTCTGAGAGATAAACTTTGTCGAGATCAACTGTGTGCGCGAGCGGATTCGAGTGATAAAACTTTTCGGTCTATTGAACTCGCACGCCTCCTTTCTTTCGTTCACTGATTAAACTTTAGTAAGTAAGTTGCTGAAACTCGGCGACGCTTTTTAGAAGATCGTCCGGTTCTGCGAAATGCGGGGAGATCACTCGTTTCAGGACGAAGAGGAGAAGAAGGAGGGGGAGGAACAACGATCCGCGAACGCGCGTCAGACGTTCTCTACGCCCATGAATAAATGCGCAGGGCCCTATGCTCGCGGCATGAGCCTCAGATCGTGATCACATCTATGCGATCGATGTGTCGCGTCTATCGACGCGACTTGAAACGCGCGAACCTCGCCGTCGCAGAGATCGCACCGGGCAGATCAGCCCGACAACACTAATGAAAATAAAGCATCTCGCGATTAGTTTTTCCGCGCTTTAATCTACAGCCCTACTGCGTGTGCCGGAAATGAGATTCTCCTAGCGCGAATGTGGTACGACGTAAGCAAGAAGGTGGGGCTATCGACATCGAATATCGAGTGATCGATCAACCGCATGACAGAAATGACAGTGGCGACGTCGATATTGATGATGACGACGACGACTATGACGACGACGACAAGCACGATGTTTTCTTTCTTTCTCGCTCCGCGAGAACGACGGCTATTAATAGTTCATTGCACGTTCAATTGCGACGTATGTACTTAACCGTCGCGCGGTGCGAAAACTAACTCGATAGACGCTGACTCGACCCTCCGCCGCGAATAATCGAGATAATAACGCCGCTTCGTGGCCGAGGATTCGTTCGAGGCGCGATTAAAGCGCGCACTCTCGAGGTACCGCGGGAGGAGCTTGATTTATGGGTTTTGCGCGCGAGCGCGACGCTGAAACAATTTCTGCGTTTGGTATCACTTGGCCGCGATAAAATAGATCCCATTGTCGTGACGTGACGGCACGATTATTTCGGTGAATACACGCGAAATGATCCACGCACGAGTTATAGTGCGAGTCTCGCGCGCTCCCTTCTAGCTCACGGATACACGCAAATGCGTGATTAAACAAATACACGGCCGAGATGGCGATTATTTCTCTATAAATAACAGTTCTATAAAAAAGGAGACAAAAAAGCAGGAAGATAATCGTTTGTCTCCATGCGTATTGACGAGTCGGAAGATACGTCGATAAACTCTGAACCGACACTCTAGATCGACGTCCTCAGATAATTTTCGTGTAATTACGTTATCTCATTAATTATAATGTTCGCGAGTAATCACCTATTGAGAGTCGGAGATTAGTAATATTTTGCGCAACGCGAAACACTTGGTAGACATAGGCTACGTTCTGCCTATGTGTAACACACATGCTCTGTAAATTTCTTCAAATAAAATTCCGCTCAAAAACAAAACAAAGTCAATTCAAGTGACTTTTCATTCCTACATAGAGTGAATTGTTATAAAATTACTATAAAATATTCGTTTCGAATCGCCGAGCAAGTATTTCCAAATGAAGAATAAAAATCTGATGTATTTTTTTCTTGAAAAGAAACAGATTTACTCTACTTTTTTCCTGATTAATAAGTTCCAAACAATTTGCTCTAAATTGATCGAAACATTGATTTATATGACTCAAAGCATAAATTAAGCACTGGTTTTGAGTAAGCAATTTCACTCCAAGAAATTTACAGAGTAAAGATTATCCGCAAGATTTTTCATCGACAGCGAATTGTTCTAATTTCGCCCCTTTCTCTTGTCCTCAGTGTCCGAGAGCTACAGCAGTTACGTGAACTCCATGTACGGCGGAGCCAATCAGTTCGCAACTCCCTGCACCCCGAGCCCGCCACGGGGACCCGGCGGCGTACCCACCAGCGTGATCCAAGCGGCCACCAGCTCAGTTTCGGACGATCTCTACCTCCTCGACCTGGGCTTCCCGCCGCGCACGAAGAAGAGCAAGCTGAAGAAGCCGCGGCAGGGTGAGGGAGGCGGCAGCGGCGCCGCGGTGAAGCGGAAGTCGCGCGAGGGCTCGACCACTTACCTGTGGGAATTCCTGCTGAAGCTGCTGCAGGACCGGGAGTTCTGTCCGCGCTACATCAAGTGGACGAATCGCGAGCGGGGTGTCTTCAAGTTGGTCGACAGCAAGGCGGTCTCGCGGCTCTGGGGCCTGCACAAGAACAAGCCGGACATGAACTACGAGACGATGGGCAGGGCGTTACGTTATTATTATCAGCGCGGCATCCTCGCGAAGGTGGATGGCCAACGTTTGGTGTATCAGTTTGTCGACGTACCGAAGGACATCGTCGAGATCGATTGTACAGGCGCATGAGACAGGGGGCCGACCCGTCCCGCGGGTGATCATGAGGAGCAGCGACAGCAACAGCAACAGCAGCAACAGCAATGTGACGTTTCGGCGCGAGTATCGCGCTTACTACGTCGATCGCCACCACTGCCGCCGACGCGGCGTCGCGGGTTCGTCGCGGAGTTGCATCCGCGCGACAGATCGTCGTCGAGCGACAACGGTTTTACCCGCCGAGACACGCCGACCTGGCACACCCCTCAGACGTTGTAAAATGCGTTCTCTCTCTCTCTCTCTTTCTATTTCTCTCTCCCTTCATCTTTCTCTCCTTGTCTCTCTGTCTGTCTGTCTCTC